ATTCCATATTAAGGTTCTAGGTGTAAGTTGGAAATGATAGAAAAAAACTGAAGTTACACCTACTGGAATGGAACAGGTCAATTTTCTAGTGGTAGAGTAAGAACAACAACTGGACACAGTGGCTCATGCCTGTAATCCCAGCACTTTGGGAGGCCAAGGCGGGTGGATCACCTGAGGTCAGGAGTGCGAGACCAGCCTGGCCAACATGGCAAATCCCCATCTCTACTAAAAATACAAAAAATTAGCTGGGTGTGGTGGCACGCTCCTGTAATCCCAGCTACTTGGGGAGGCTGATGCAGGAGAATTGCTTGAACCCAGGAGGCGGAGGTTGCAGTGAGCTGAGATCGCGCCAGCGCACTCCAGCCTGGGTGACAGAGCGAGACTTTGTCTCAAAGAAAGAAAAGGAAAAAAAAAAAAAAAAGAACAACAATCTTGGCACCTGGAGAGAGAATACCTAATTACACACACCATTTTGGCCTTAGAGGGCATTCGGGATTGCCTTAACTTACTGGCTAAGACTGTTACATGATAGGCTTGCCCTGAACTTCCTCCTGTGGGTCAGGTGAGGGGTACCTGGAGCTCTAGCATAGGGCTTGGAGTGAGTGACAACTTTAGATTAGGCCCTCTTGAGTAGTTGACACTTAAGCAAAACCTTGAAGGATGTGAGGGAATTCGCAGTATAGATGTCTGTCCTTGTAAGCCTGAGTGTTTGCTCCATTGAGAACAGTGGGCATTACTGAGAACTTGTGGAAGAAACAATTTAATAGTCAGATAACCTTGGTTCAAGTTTTACTTTTGGGCAAGTCAGCCCGGGCACTAAATTGCTTAACCAACAAAGTGGGTTAAATGAATGACAGAAACCAGCATATTTTAGACCAGATAGTCCCTGTTTTAGATGAAAAATGAGAAAATGAATTGCATCAATGCTGAATTTGAACTCCTTCAAGAATCATTGTCTGTTTGTTCTTCTTCCCATTCACAAGGGCATTTCATTGTTGCCTTGGTGTCACTGCATTGTTTTTAACTAGCCCTTGCTTTGGTGGGGAAGATCAGAAGTGACCTCATGAATTACTTTGATAAATATGTCAAACAGTAGAATTCCAAGTGGATTTTCAATTGAGTCTAGGGATTAATTTCTGCAATAGGTGAGGCAAAGCTGATGAAATTCAGCCACTCTGCACCAATGTAAACTGTCAAGTAAGAAGTGTTTATGGAGCCTGCTGAGAATTGTACTTCACTCAGCAGCTAAGAAAATGATTCTGTCAACTCTTGATTATTCTTGTTAATGAAAATTTAAAATATCATTGTTTAACATAGGGGCTAATGTATACATTCTCACCACAGAAAGGGAAAAGTAGCAGGAGATATACCTGGACCAGCTGGAAGAAGAAGTCCTAAATGTGAGCAGTGGTAGATGTCAGGAAGACCTTACTGATGGTCAGGGACATTAACCTGGTGGCAGCCAGGGCAAGGAGTGAGGGAAAAGAGAAATCTAGGCAATTGGCGTAGATTCATTTTAACTACAGAGTGGATAATGAAAGGATGTTTTTCCTTTTCTTTAAAAAAAAGGTAAATAGGCAGAACATAATGCCTTAGATGCACTGATTCTGTAAACGAAATGCCTTTTCTATGCCAGACCTAGGCCGGGCTCTGGAGGGAGAGCAGCAAATATTACAATCCCTGCTTTTCCAGGAGATGACAGTGTTCTTGGCAAGATGTAAAAGTGAACCAGCACAACCCACTGGCATTATGCACAAAGACCTCTTGGAACCAAGCAGGAAACACAGAGCAGAGGGTGAGCCTGACAGACGGCGAAGGTTTCCAGGAGCAGTCAAAGCCTGCCTGTGTCTTATCGGAGGAACTGCAGTTAGATGCACCTTTACAATGTCATTCAATAAACATTAATTAAGCAATCTTGGTATGCTAGACAGACATTTGTGGTAAGCTCTAGGATGAACAAGAACCATCCCAGCTTTCAAGGCTTTAGACTGTGGTAAAGTGAAACAGATACAAACAAACTCACAGAGTTGTCATTAGTTACTGTGAGGAAGTTTGAAAAAGGATGTATTAGCAGCCCAAGTCTGTTCCACTTCATCTGGTGGGGGGCTGTGAGGTCTTGTGTCCAGTACCTGGAAGGATGATAGGTGTCCAGCATGTGGTATTGAAATCAGGTTATTGTAGATAGATAAAACAACGTGACTGGAGGTGAGGGGCAGCCATGGTGAATTTGAAGGACTACAAGTAGAGGAGTTCCATCTGGCTGCTGGTGAACGCTGTGTTAGGGAAGGGGAGAGGGGTGAAGATGGAGAGCAGGAACAAAGCAAGGAAGGCTTTGTGAGCCCTGGGAAGGCATTAGGTTTATTCCATGTGTAGGAATACGTGTAGGCAGATAGCTAGACATGAGCAGGTTGGGAGCCTTTGAGAAAGGAAAAGCTTGGGAAGTGTCAGGTCCAAGGGACCACCCACCATTTACATATTAATAGCGTCTCTAATGTTGGAATGGGTGGACAATTAGTCAACTGAGAGCAGAAAGAAAGAAAAAGGGCAAAGAAGAAATTCTTAAGAGATATACAGGCACAAGTACAAATTTGACTGCTGTAAGACCTTCCTGGGGTGGCGGTAATGAGCAACGCAGCCATTAGATAGAATTCGTAGCCAACACCTGGCCCACGCATGCGCACCGACCTGGGGTGGAAACTAGGCAGGTAAAAGGCAAGGGCTTATGGCAGAAGGAGAAAAACTAGATGAAGAAAAAAGGCAGAGACTTGAGACAGAGCGGAGACAGAGCAGGAAACATGAAGAAAAATCCAACGTTGTAAAAACCCAACCCAGGACTCTGCTGGCCCATTCTCTTTCAGCAGCCTGCTCTGCCTCATCTTTCAGAGTGTCCCGTCCCTTTGAATAAACTCTCTGCTCCCTCTTTCCCTTCAAGTAAAGATTTCTGCTGTCTTTGAATTGTCACTTGGCCATTATCTTACTCCCAAGATGACTAAGGACTGAGGATTCCCCATACTTTTGAGTAACGCATGGAAACACGGATATTTGTAGGGAGAAACAAGATAAACATTCAAGGATTAAAGTGACAAAGTGATGTGTGAAAATTTAGATTTTGAGTCATTCTGGCCACAGTTTGGGGATAGACTGGAGTGGGAAGGGACTAGGGGTAGACAGGACCATTTAAGAGTTTCAGCATTAGCCTGGGCACAAAATGATGAAGATCTAAATCAAGACTGTGTAAGTGAGTTTAAAGAGAGAAATGTGTGAAGAGAAATAATTTACAGAACTTGCTAATTGACTGCAAATGACAAGGGTATTTCAGAGGAAAGAGGCAAACGTGACTTCCAGTTTTCCAGGCAGTGCAATTTAGTGTATCAGCCAAGGTTTTCCAGGAGGTATGAATTATTCAGCAAAACTGAGGGTTTAACAAACTCTGAGACTTTATATGTACAGTGAAAAGTTCTTCACTAGAGTATAAATTCTTTAGTAGATTTTAAATTCCTTGAGTGTAAGTACTTCATTTTAAAATTATTTTAATCTGCTTTAGCATAGTTTTGTAGAGCTTGATAAAGTAATGTTTTCAGGCTAAATTTAACCTGATATGTAAAAAGCAAAAAGGTATGTAAACTTTGGGTTAAAAGAAAAGTTATTTAAAAATGACATTTCTTGTCTGGGCATGGTGGCTCACGCCTGTAATCCCAACACTTTGGGAGCCCGAGATGGGCAGATCACCTGAGGTCAGGAGTTCGAGACCAGCCTGGCTAAATGGTGAAACCCCATTTCTACTAAAAATACAAAACATTAGCTGGGCGTGGTGATCCATGCCTGTAATCCCAGATACTCAGGAGGCTGAGGCAGGAGCATCGCTTGAACCCAGGAGGTGGAGGTTGCAGTGAGTCGAGATCATGCCATTGCACTACAGCTTGGGCAACAGGAGTGAAACTCCATCTCAAAAAAAAAAAAAAGACATTTCTTACAGCACTATGCATATTAAAACAATGTTAGATTACCAATGATACAACTTTTATAGTTTTTATAGTCTCTTTCAGAAGAAAGCTAGTACTGGTGTCAGTGGAACATAGGCTGAGGTAACAGTTTATGTGAAAAAGAAGGTATAACTGGTCTTCTACTTTGGCTTAATTCAACTAAGGTCACTACTGGTAGTAGCTTTTGGATTATTAAGTCAACCTAAAGCTGAGGGATATCTTTTATTTCATCTATTATAGTTGTGCAAAGACTGGGGTTTAGAGGTGGAGTAAATTTACATGGACTAACTCTATAGAGAAATTTTTAGGCGAGTGTTTCATGGATGAAGCTCAGCTGAAGAAGGAATTGTTGTTTCAGGCACTTTTGGCCTGAAGAGCTTTTGTTCTGAATTTGTGCTTTAAATGCACAACAAAAGCAAGGAATCTTTAATGGTACTTGCTTTGAAATTAGAGTGTGATTACTTTAAAACACTATGGATAGTTTTATTGCCTTAAACTATTGTTAAACTGCCATTCTTTTTTAATGGTCTCCATAGCTGCATGCTGGTGAAAGGAAAAGCTAGTAGAGAATTCACTTTGGTTGAGAGTTAGGTGAGGACTTGCAGGAACTGTAGGAAAAGCTGTTATATTTTGACCTGGTGATCATCAGTATTTTATATGCCTGCCCTAAAGCTCGACACAGGCGCATTTCCAGCACAACACTTTAAGCCTAATTGGACCCACTGGCAATGTCAGGTTATCAAAACTTTTCATTTAGGGACACTGAATGATTTTGGGGAAAGAACTTGTGGTCACTGATCAGTGTGATTGTGAACATATCTCACACGTATATTTGTTTCATAATATAGATTTTATTCCTCGAAACGTGCTAGAGGAATATGAACTGTTTCTGACATATAATGATGTCTGAGATATCAGCAATCTGTGAGATTGAAAAAAAATAATACCTATTATCCACAAGTGTGGTTAGTTCTCAGGCGATTGCCCTAGAAATAGGTCAAGATAAAGTGACCTTACCCGGCCGTACATGCTCTGGTATGCCTCTGCAATCATCAGCCTTTGTGCATTGCAGCGCTGAGTCAGAATGTTGATCAGCATGTCTTTGTCACAGTCTGGAAAAGAATAATATTTGAAGATTAGTAAAGTTGCTACTTTGTAGTTGGGAAGAATCCATTATCTAACGATCATAACCAGTGTGCAAACATTATCCCTGATGGTATTTTACAGCAGGGAACAATTTTAACTAAAATTGGAAATCATGTAATGATGCTTGATGAAGCCTGGATCCTTCCTATCTCCTAGTTTAGTGCTATTATTACAAACTAGGCATTGAAGGAACATTCCTCAAAATAATAAAAGCCATATATGGCAAACTCACAACCAACATCATACTGAACAGGGAAAACTTTCCGCCTGAGAACAGAAACAAGACAAGGATATTTCCTTATCCACTCCTATTCAACATAGTACTGGGAGTCCTAGCTGGAGCAATCAGGCAAGAGAAAAAAATAAAAAACACCCAAATTGGAAAAGAGGAAGCCAAACTATCTCAGTTTGCTGATGATATGATCTCACCATCTTATAGAAAACTAAAGACTCCTCCAAAAGACTCCCAGATTTGATAAATGACTTCAGTAAAGTTTCAGGATACAAAATCAACATATGAAAATCAGCAGCATTTCTATACACCAACAACGATCAAGCTGAGAACCAAATCAAGAACTCAGTTCCATTTATAATAGCTACCAAAAATAAATAAAATATCTAGGAATACATTTAACCAAGGAAGTGAAAGAGCTCTATAAGGGTAACTACAAAACACTGTTGAAAGAAATCATAGATAGCACAAACAAATGGAAAATTATTTCCTGCTCATGAATTGGAAGAATAAATATCACTAAAATTATTATACTGTCCAAAGCAATTTACAGGTTCAGTGCAATCACTATCAGCTTATCATGTCATTTTTCATAGAATTATGACAAACAATTCTAAAGTTCATGTGGAGTCAAAAAAGAGCCTGAGGCCGGACACGGTGGCTCAAGCCTGTAATCCCAGCACTTTGGGAGGCCGAGACGGGCAGATCACGAGGTCAGGAGATCGAGACCATCCTGGCTAAAACGGTGAAACCCCATCTCTACTAAAAATACAAAAAATTAGCTGGACGTGATGAAGGGCACCTGTAGTCCCAGCTACTCAGGAGGCTGAGGCAGGAGAATGGCGTGAACCCGGGAAGCGGAGCTTGCAGTGAGCCGAGATCACGCCACTGCACTCCAGCCTGGGCGACAGAGCGAGACTCCGTCTCAAAAAAAAAAAAAAAAAAAAAGAGCCTTAATAGCCAACACAATCTTACACAAAGAGAACAAAGCCAAAGTCATCACATTACCTGATTTCACACTATACTACAAGGCTACGGTAATCAAAACAAGCATGGTACTGCTATAAGAACAAGAGAAAACAAATAACTCCATTAAAAAGTGGGCAAAGGATATGAACAGACTTTTTTGTTTCCAAAAGAAGACATACAAGAAGCCAGCAAACATATAAAAAGTGCTCAACATCATGAATCAGCAGATAAATGCAAGTTAAAACCACAATGAGATACCATCTTACATCAGTCAGAATGACTATTATTAAAAAGTTAATGTCCGGGCACGATGGCTCATGCCTGTAATCCCAGCACTTTGGGAGGCTGAGGAGGGTGGATCATGAGGTCAGGAGATCGAGACCATCCTGGTTAACATGGTGAAACCCCATCTCTACTAAAAATACAAAAAATTATCCGGGCGTGGTGGCAGACACCTTTAGTCCCAGCCCGTCAGGAGGCTGAGGCAAGAGAATTGCTTGAACCTGGGAGGTGGAGGTTGTAGTGAGCCGAGATTACACTCCTGCACTCCAGCCTGGGTGACAGAGCGAGACTCTGTCTCAAAAATAAATAAATAAATAAATAAAATAAAATAAGGCAAAACAATAGATGTTAGAGAGGATGTGCAAAAAAAGGCATGCTGAAAGACTGTTGGTGGAAATGTAAATTAGTATGATCTTTATGGGAAACAGTATGGAGATTTCTCAAAGAACTAAAAATAGAACTACCATTTGACTCAGAAATTTCACTACTGTGTGTACATACTCAAAGGGAAAGTAATCATTATATACAAAGATATTTGCATTTATATGTTTATTGCATTAGCATTTATAATAGCCAAGATATGTAATCAACCTAAGTATCTATCAACAGATGATTGGATAAAGAAAATGTGGATATACATACCATGGAATACTACTCAGCTATAGAAAAGAATGAAATCTTGTCTTTTGCAGCAACATAGATGGAATCAGAGGCCATTATCCTAAGTGAAATAACTCAGAAACTGTTAATTACCATATGTTCTCACTGATGGGTGGGAGCTAAACAAAGGCTACACATGGACATATTGAGTAGGATAAAAGATATTAGAGACTCCAAACAGTGAGAGGGTGGAAGACGGGCAAGGGTTAAAAAATTACCAGTTGGGTATGTTGTTCAGTATTCAGGTGATGGGTACACTAAAAGCACAGACTCCACCAGTATATAATGTATGCATGCAACAAATCTGCACTCATACACCGTAAATCTATAAAAAAATTTTGAAAGGAAAACTCCAGTCAAAAGCACAGGGGACTGAAGAAAATATAGTGTCTCTTCAATTAGCTCTTATTCCACCAAAAATGGCTTCCTTGACCTTTAAGCTGATTAGTGTTTAAATGGGAGCAACATCTGATATCTGGATTTATGTCCCCACCTGGCTGCCCTGCATAACTTTGGGACACTGCTCTCTGCATCCCAGCTGCTCCAGCTCCAGCCTTGGTTAAAAGGACCCAAGATACATCCCAGGCTGCTGCTCCAGAGGGTGCAAGCTGGAAACTGCCAAGGCTTCCATGTGGTGTTAAGTCTATGGGTGCACGGACAGCAAGAGCTGAGGTTTTGGAGCCTTTGCCTAGATTTCATAGGATGTATGGAAACACATGGATGTCCAAGCAGAAGTCTGTTGCAGAAGCAGAGCCTTCATGGGGAACCTCTACTAAGGTAGTGTCGAGGGAAAATGTGGGGTTGGAGCCCCCACACTGGGGCACTGCCTAGTGGAGCTGTGAGGAGAGGGCTGCCATCCTTCAGACCCTAGAATGGTAGATGCACTGACATCTTGCACCATGCACCTGGAAAAGCACAGGGACTCAACACCAGCCCCTGAGAGTAGCCGTGGGAGCTGAGCTCTGCAGAGTCATGGGGGCAGAGCTTCCCAAGGCCTTGGTCCACCTTTTGCATCAGTGTGGCTTGGATATGAGACATGGAGTCAAAGGATATTATTTTGAAACTTTAAGATTCAATGACTGCCCTGCTAAGTTTCAGGCTTGCACGGGGCCTTTAGTTACTCTGTTTTGGCTGATTTTTTCCCTTTGGAAAGAGAGTATTTAGCCAATACCTGTACCCCAATTGTACATTGGAAGTAACTAACTTGTTTTTGATTTTACAGGCTCATAGGCAGAAAGGACTTGCCTTGTCTCAGATGAGACTTTGGACTGTGGACTTTTGAGTTAATGCTGAAATGAGTTAAGGCTTAGGAGATTGTTGAAAATGGGTAATTATATTTTGCAATGTGAGAAGAACGTGAGGTTTGTGGGGGGACAGGAGCAGAATGATATGGTTTGGATTCGTGTCTCTTTGCAAATCTCACGCAGGATTATAATCCCCAGGGTTGGAGGAGGGGTCTGGTGGGGGGGTGAATGGATCATGGGGGCAGATTTCCCTCTTGCTGGTCTTGTGATAGTGAGTGAGTTCTCATGAGATCTGGTTGTTTAAAAGTGTATGTCACACCTCCCCTTTCCTCTCTTCCTCCTTGTAGGAAGGCCACGTAGGATATGCCTGCTTCCCCTTTGCCTTCTGCCATGATTGTAAGTTTCCTGAGGTCTCCCCAGCCATACTTCCTGTATGGTCTGCAAAGCCATGAACCAATTAAATGTCTTTTCTTTATAATTTACGCAGTCTCAGGTAGTTCTCTATTGTAGTCTGAGAATTGACTAATATTGCATCTTTCTTGTTGAATAGAGAGATATGGCTTATAATGAACATATATTAAGGAGAGAGGATAATGGAGAAGGAAATCATGAAAGTACAAGGCATCTGTGTGCCTCTGAGGGATAGAGTGAACCTGTCATGCTTTTCATGGAACACCGGCCACCCTGTCTATCTCCTCCCTAATATAGACTGTTTCTGGTCTGTGTATCCTTCACTTCCTCATGTACCAACACACCAAGCTAATAGACCGGTTTAGTGCACAACTAGTTTGGATAAATTTAGGTGTAATTGTAGTCATAGTAGAGTCAGCAATATGACATTTACCTTTCCCTCAGCTGGACTAAAATTTAGACAGGTTTCTTCCCAACTACAGGTTCCTAACCTCCCTTTTATTAGAGCATTTATTTTAGAAAACATGCAATTTTAAATTCTTTCTCTGCGTCTTAAGAGACGTAAATCTCCTCCCAGCCTCTTGCAGTTTGACAACCCAAAATTGTCTTTCTCAGGAATATGGGAGCCATCCTTTTTAAATGTAATCACTGGGAAGATAGAAACTGTGTTTCCTATTTCCCAGTGTCTGTGTGAGGACAGGAACCTGACTTTGTTAAGTGCCAATTAGCAACCACAGATAGTCTAATCACATGAACCAATGCCCTCCCTCCCCAACATCCTTCAGTTCTTTCCTACTATCTCACCATACTGCTTAAAAACTCTCTTGCCTTTGTTTCATAGGATTTGAGTTCACTCTCTCTCCCTTCTTGCAATGGTCTTGATCCCTACTGCAGAAACTTCCTTGTTGTTTAATTCCATCGGGTATAATTTTTCTTTGACAAGGGGAGATATATAATGGAGATGGGGAGAAAAATGAATTGAAAAGCTAGAATGTTAACCAAATCATCTTTTTTGAAATTAAGTCCATCCTGGATGGGCTTAGGATCACAGGAAGGCTATGAATAAGGTGCTGAAATATCCAGTGAATGAGAACAAGTGTTAAGAATTCACAAAGATGATTGTACCACTGAAAAGCAGGGGGAGCCTCAGGGTATTTTATGCACAGAC